TTATTTCTTTTCTTTATGAATTAGCTTCCATCATTAATTATTTCCATCTATTCATTCAGCAAGCATTTATGAAGCATCTGCTATGTACCAAGCACACCCTCCTGGCTTTCTGAGCAGAGAAAGGGCTGATATGCATGGTTTCCTTCCTCCTCTTCTCTGCCCTTATTGCTACCTATTGTATTTTTTCAGATACCCTGGGCAAAGACAGTTAGGGAGAATTTGAGTTTGATAAAATGCTAAAGTATCATCGAGGTGCATACTGATTTTATACCTCTGCCCTTTGGAAAGTAGTCCAGACAACTGTGTCAACACTTTTCAACTCAGTTCCTGAGGAGAAGCATACGAGACCCTTGTGGTCCTAGCTGCTGCTGTTCATTTACAGGTGTTTACTGATGAGCCACCCCAGGTGCCCAGCAATCAGAACATCTGGGGCCTGGAAAGAAACATGGCCATTTGGGCTGCTGGCCCAGGGTCTGACAAAAACCTAACACATGACTGGTGCTCTGCTGGGTGACACCTATCCTTATATATTCTTGTAATAGATCTCATTCCACTCTATATATGTACCTTGGATGGTCACGTCCTATATCTCTCCATCCAAAGCTGAGCCCTCCTAAGTTTGCCCATGTGGTGAACTCAGTAGATTTTGGTGTGGGAAAATTCTCTTGTTGATCTCTCTTAATTCTTCATAATTTGAATGTAATGTCACAGTCCATCTCATAGATTCCCTTCAAAGTCCAGCAAAAGAAGATTTTTCCAACCCTGTCAGTGGTTTGTGCCAGCTACCTCCCCTGAAAGCCCTTGGTATTTACCTCTCTTTCTGTTTTGTATCTTCTTTGTGGTATACTGTATATGATAGTTACACCCAGCAGAACATAACCTCCTTGAGAGAAGGGGCTGCTTCCCTTTTTTTTTCCATAGCACTTAGCATGGGGCCAGGTACATGACAGGCACTGAAAAAAATGCTTGTTGATGGACTAATGGATCGTTTATTTCAGCAATATTCACCTCTTGGAATGCTTGTAATGACTTTCTAAGTCTCTTATCTATCCCCTCCATTCCATCGTCTGCTCCTCTGTTCAGTAAATCCTTATAATGATCTGCTCAGTTCATGTCATTTCACTGATAGAAAATCTCCATTGGATCCCCATTATCAAGGAAGTATAGTATAAGTTCTTTCCATGAGCTTGTCACTCAAGGCCATTTACTTTGGATACGACCTATCCCCCGCCTTATTTCATACCACTCTCCTCATTATCATTGTCATATCCAACCTTAGGAAATGTGGGCTGCCTTTCTCCGGTGCCTTGGCTCTCACCATTGGTCATACCTAGAACAATGGCCTCCATTTTCGAAAGCTTTGCTTGATGCCACCTTCTTCCTGAAACTTTCCTGGATTCCATTTGATCAATAGTTTCTTCCTTCTCCCTCAAACCTTTACCATTCCTTTATCCCTCTCTCCCATATGTTTACATTATTTTAAGTAATACCATCCTGGAAACATGTTCTAACTACTCTAGTAATCTACTCAGCCATGGAAGGCAGGGACTTATTGCTTATCCACCTTTGAATCCTCTATAGCACTCTTACCACACTAGAGATGCTTCTGGGTGATTGCATTCTATGAATCCAACAAAAGCCATTTCACCCAGAAGGTTCTATTTCCATCTAAGTTTACCAAGATGTACTAAATTCCCTGGTTATTTCCTTCACTCCCTCCAGAGACCAGAATGCAATTCCTTGCTTCTCTTTGGCAGGTGGATGCTTCTTCGCTTTGCTTCTAGGACATGAGGGAGAATTCAGGAAGGCAATGCATGTGTCACTGTGGGACATTGGAAAGTGTACTGTTATCAAGAACTAGGATTGGTCAACTAAGTGGCACAGTGATAGGACACTGGAATTAGAACCAGGAAGACTCTTCATGAGTTTGAATCTGGCCTCTGACACTTACTAGCTGTGTGACCCAGGGCAAATCACGTAACTCTATTTGCCTCAGTTCCTCACTGGTAAAAGGAGGTGCAGAAGGAAATGTCAAACCATTACAGTATCTTTGTCCAGAAAACCCCAAGTGAAGAGTCAGACATGACTGAACAACCAGTATTCACATAAGTGCTTCACATATGTTTTAGGGACAGCTGTGTGGTTCATGGACAGAGTGCCTGGCTTGGAGTCAGGACCTGAATTCAAATCCAGCCTCACATACTTACTAGCAGTATGACCCTGAGCAAGTCATTTAACTCTGTTTGACTCAGTTTCCTCATTTATAAAGTGAACTAGAGAAGGAAATAGCAAACCCCTCCCATATCTTTGCCAAGAAAACCACAAATGGTGCCGTGAAGAGTCAGGCACAACTCAAACAAATGAACAACATTAAGAGATTGAATCAATGCTGAGTAAGCTGGAGTTCTGTCCCAGACCTAGATACAAGGACAGAGGCAGGAAGAAGTCTCTCCTTTCCTCCATCCCCTCCCCTGCTGCCTACTCATGGCCTTTCCTGCTTCCTTGTGAGCATCACACTCCTCTCCACTGATACACTTTACCACAGGGTTCGGACGTCTTCAATCTGATGCCTGTCAAATCACTCTTTCCTGTGACCATCAAGGATGGGGTTAAGAAATAGAGACTGGAAAAAGTAGCAAACATATCTCATAGTAGACTAAGCCCTAGCCCTCCAGAGTCACTATCCTCTTCTCCATTCCTTTTATTTATTTTTTTGAAGGGGGCGAGGCAATTGGGGTTAAGTGACTTGCCCAGGGTCACACAATTAGTGTGTGTTATGTGTCTGAGGTTGGATTTGAACTCAGGGCCTCCTGACTCCAGGGCTGGTGCCCTATCCACTGTGCCACCTAGCTGCCTCTCCCTCAATTCCTTTTTGACTATGCCCTCTGGAACTTTATTATTAACAAACTCCCTATTGCCTTACATCTCTTTAACTCACATTCCTTCTCTTTTCTGAGGGCTCCTGAAGATAACTTGTTCTAGAAGACACCACATATCTTGTTACTCTGTCCAAGGCTAACTAATCTCATTTCATTATCACAGGGTCAGGAGTGATATGGGGGAAAGAATGCTTGATGGAGCCTCAAAAGACCTGGGTTCAAATCTTATCTCTATTATTTATTAGTTACGTAAATGTGAGATCATGGGTGGTAAAGTGAATGATATGTTGGATGTTAGAGTAAAGAATACCTGGGTTCAAATCCTGTCTTAGACATCTGTTGTGTGACTCTGACCAAGTCAATTTATCTTCTTTTTTGTCTTGGTTTATTCATTTATGAAATGGGCATAACAGAAGCTACCTCACAAGGTTTTTGTGGGCATCAACACATAAAGCATTTTGCAAATCTTAAGCTGCCATACAAATATTATGTTATTATTAATAATAATTGTTATTTACACCCTCTAGGCCTATTTCCTAATTTATAATACGTAGAAGCTAGACTAGATGACCTGTAAGGTTCCTTCTTAATCTAAGCCCATGATCCTGTGATTGCACAGAATACATCTAATTGTGCAGGCATTTCCAGGTGCTTCCACTGTCACAATAACATAATGATGTCTTGCCTTTTAAAGCTCCCCCTGCCATGTTCACATCCTTGTTGGTGGCATCTCTGGACCTGCAGGTCACTCCCTGTCCTCCCCAATATGTTTAGCAATTGACTCACATTGCCTTCTCCACACTAACTCTGGTTCCCTATAGCTTATCAGTTCTCATCACCTTTGTTTCCAGGCTACCTCAAAATCTCAGAGTTATGGCTGATTTTTAGTCCAAGCCGTAAAATGAGGGAAAACAAACAAATTAACAAAGAAAACAACATTACAACACACCTAAGGAAGTGTAATCTTTTTTCAAAAAAAATTTTTTTTAAACTTTTGCTTAAAGACCACTAGTGTGACCACAGTAGTTGTCATTTGATTAGCAATATTCATTAAGTATCTACTATTTACCAAAAATAATGTTATTTCTTAGATCCCAAACTTTCTTCAATCATATTTGCCCTCTGTTCTGGAAGTCTTAGCGTAGTACTAGTAGCAGTAGCAGTAACAGCAGTAGCAGCAATAGTAGGGTAGTAGCGTTACTGCTACTACTGTCACTACTAGTAGTAGTGTTACTAGGAGTAGTCATAGCAGCTATTGTGGTCGTAGTGGTAGAAGTAATAGTAGTAATAATAGTATTGCTACTACTTCTAATACTACTGCCACTACAACTGCTATGACTACTACTGCTAGTGGCACTATTACTACCACTATAACTATTATGACTACCATGACTTCTACTCTAGGACTTCCAGAAGATAGAACAAATTCGATTGAAGAGAGGTTGAAATCTAAAAAGCAGCGTAGTTTTAATTGCGCATTAGTAATATTTATATAGTGTTTTGAGATTTGAAAATATTTTATAAATATTATTTCTCATGATCTTCATGACAACTTTGGTAGCTAGATGCTATTATTATCCCCTTTTAACAGATGAGGAAACTGAAGCAAAGAGGTTAAATCATTTGCTAAGGATCACACAACTAGTATGTATCTGAGGATGGATTTGAACTCAGGTCTTCTCAACTCCAGGCCCAGCCATCCACTGGGCCCTCTAGTCATAGCTCTAGTGAGGAAACCTGGGTTTGTTTCCTGCCTTAGGCATTTACTATCTTTTTGACAGTGAGTATCACTGAACCTATCATAACCTCAATATCCAAATCAAGAAAATGGTGGTCATGATCTTTACCCACTTCACATAACGAAGCAGGAATGTGAGTCATTATGTGTGAAGGACTTCTTAGTATCACTTATGGCCTAGATCCATTGCTATTGCGGATGTAAACTAGGAAACAGTTGTCTTCTTCTACTGGCTTTTCCACTGGCAGTTATCAACAATATATTCTGGATTTCCTCAGTTACCAAGATAAAGTAGCTAGTTCTCTCTAACTTTCTTTATTCATATTAAGAATTGAAATAGACTTTAGTATGGAAGTGTTGGAGAAGAAACACACATGACTTACTTTTAGAAGGGACCCGCAGGTTGGCCAGAACCACTTCCAAGGAATCGGCTTGGACTCGGAGCACATAGCTTGTCTTTGTTTCATAGTCGAGAGGTGCCTTGACATAGATCACACCTGTGATGTTATTAATCCCAAAGTGATCTGGAATAGAAAGTACAATTTCTAGGTCTTGACTTCAAGCAAAGTGAATTTCTTCCCTGTGACTTTGAAATTACTTCTTTATTATACTTATAACTGACAAACTATTAACCGGGGCTTTAAATCCCACCTCTATCACTTACTGCCTCATGACTGTGGGCATGTCATACAGCCTATCAAGACTTCGGTTTCTTTATCAATAGAAAGGGAGTTAAACAAGTCCTTTCTAGTTCAAACTCTTTTTTTTCAGTCTAACACTGATACTTGGCTCCTAGATATTCAGTATGATGTTTAAATGAGAAAAACGAAATTAAGGAGCAGGAAGGATGGACATATGAGTTGAGTCCTCAGACTCTGACTCTGGAATCAACAGCCTCCTCACAAGTAGCTCATATCTCTAGGATCTTCCTTCCTGTACAGATGGCCCTCCTAACTCTTTGGACCTGCTCTTTCATGACACAGAAAACCCTTCACCCTGGAAGTTCTTTTCAGCCCTGGTTTTCTCACACTGGAAATACTCTATGATATCTCTGTGATAGGCTGGTTTCTTCCAAAGCCTCAATTTTAAGGAGAATACCCAGGGCAACCAAAGCATCTCTCTCTCTCTCTCTCTCTCTAAGTTGCACTCTTACACTCTTGATTCCACACACATTTTCTATTATATCCCTGTAGGTCTCTTTATACCTTTGCCCTTCACCCTTTAAATCTTTGTTTTGTAATGTGCTGTCATCCTTCTTTATGATATAAGCTCATCAAAGGTGAGGACTGTCTTTCTGCTTTCTTACATTTGTATTTCCAGTGTTTGGCAGTGTCAGAAATATAACAAGCACTTAATAAATATTTGTTAACTGACTGACTGACTGACCTGGCCTTGCACTGTGCAGTTGCATACAGAAAGTGTTTAATAAAAGTTTCAAGAATGCACAAACTAAACATGCCTTTATGGAAGGATGGAGACAGACAGAAAATTGCCTTTATGAGAATTGTGAGAAGTCACAGGACGTAGTGGATAGAAGGCTAGCCTTGGAATCAGATAGATCTCATTTCAAATCCTATATCTGACACATATGAAGAATATGAATCACTTAATCTTTTCATGTCTTCAGGCAACTAAGATTTAAAATTATAAATGAATTGTTGATTTTCTTCCATGGAGAACAAATACTACTTTCCCTACTGGAGTTCCCCACAATGATAAAATCATAAATCTTGGACAATATCCATGGAAAAGAGGGGGAGGCAGAGTAAGGAGAGGGGGGAGAGAATGGAATTGAGAGGAAGAGGGAGGTAGTGAGGAGAGACAGAGAGAGACACACACACGTGCACACACACACACACACACACACACACAGAGAGAGAGAGAGAGAGAGAGAGAGAGAGAGAGAGAGAGAGAGAGAGAGGAATATCAGACTACAAGGTATAAAAAAAGATTTAGGCCAGTATTACAATGTAGAAGAACATGGCACAAACAATTTCTACTCTTCTTAAAAAGATTAAAAAGAGTTAGAAATCAATATAATTTCTTCTTGGTGGAGTTGTGAAATGATCCAACCATTTTGGAGAACAATTTGGAACTATGCCCAAATGGCTACAAAAATGTGCATACCCTTTGATCAGCAATAGCACTTCTAGGGCTATATCCTAAAGAGATCAAACAAATGGGAAAAGGACCCACATGTACAAAAATATTCATAGCAGCTCTTTTTGTGGTGGCAAAGAATTGGAAATTGAGAGGATGCCCATCAATTGGGGAATGGCTGAGCAAGTTGTGGTATATGAATGTACTATTGTGCTATAAGAAATGATGAACAGGCTGACTTCAGAAAAACCTGTAAAGACTTATATGGTCTGATGCTGAGTGAAGTAAGCAGAACCAAGAGGACTTTGTACACAATAACACATTATGCAATGACTAAGATTGTGAAACTGAACCCTTCTCAGCATTATGAGGATCAAAGACATCTCCAGAGGCCTCGGGATGGAAAATGCTGTCCACATCCAAAGAAAGAACTATGGAAGTCCAATCGCTATCACTTATTTTTTCCTTCTGTTGAGTTTTGTTTCATCTTTCTGATGGTTCCTCCTATTGGTTTTAATTTTTACTTACAACTTCACTAATGTGAAAATATGTTTAATGGGTATATAAATGTAAAGCCTATATCTGATTGTGTGCTGCCTTGGGGAGGGTGGGGCGAAGAAAGAGGGAGAAAAATTTTCAACTCAAAAGCATATGGAAATGATTATTGATAAATCAAAATAAATTAATAAAATTTTAAAAAAAGAAATCAATTTAATTTCACTTATTTATTTAACATTTTGATCATTTAAAAGAAATCACTTTAAAAATATCACTCCAGGTCCATATATCTTTTATAAATGAATTGAAATAAATTTTCCGTTGAATAGCTTGCATTTTTTTTTCATGCAGGTCCTCCTTCAGTGCCCCGTTGTGGAGTACAGGTGACCTAGGCTTCTGCAAACTTCTCTTTCTGGAATGGAACTTCTGGGTACTCATACAGGACAGACAAGGGTCTGGTAGACAGCACATATATTATCAAGGATCAGTCCAAGAAAGTTTGGAGAGGCTGATTAGCAGATTGGCCCGGGGGATATACACATGGGCTACAGAAACTATAAAAATCATCCACTAAGATGCAAAAGGCGCTGCATTATATATAACAGGAGGGGCCACAGATGTCAACAGAATCATTGATCCTTGCAACATTTCTTTTTCAGACAAATTTCAGGGTTTAAAGTCTAACATAAAGATTTTTTTAATCCTAATGGGAAAGACCAACAGCTCCAAGATTTGCCCAAATATGGTTGTTTAATGGGTCAACATTCTATTTATTACATCTTTATAAGTTATAATAGCACCTGCACAGCTGGATGACACCCTACATAAAAGTCTGATTCCTCTATGTGGTATGGGGGTGACCTTCAGTTGCAAAGGCCATTCCAGTGAAGCTTGAGCCTGGTCATGTGTTGCCAAGTTCAGGAGGCTTTAAGAATTGGCACAGAGACAGATTCTGGGTGTGTCATCAGTTCAAAGCTCTCATCAGCAAGTTGATTGAAGGGCAGAAATATTTTTGTCTCTTTCCCCAGACTATCAAAAATTAAGTGACAGTGACTGAGACCTGCAGCAGTGGAGGAAGTAATTATAATTATGTGCTTACATTCCCTGACTTATAGTGAATTGTGAGCATGTGGGTATGTGGGAATGGGTTTCATCTACATGCAAATGCATACATATGTATGTATATGTGAGGATACAGTAGTAAAAAATGTGTTCTCTACATTTAAGAAATGTACAATTGATTAGGGAAGAGGATATATGTAAGCCTCAGTTGCCTCATCCATAAAACGCTTCAATTAGACTAGATGGAATCTAAAACATTTTAAGTTTTTACATTTAGGCTCTCATGATCCTATTTATACGACATAAAAATTGATAACATAGAATGTGAGAATGTCTAAATGAAGAGGTGTTTGGTTAGTTCTACAATTTCAAAGGGCCAGAAGTCCCTTTCATCTGAGCATTTCACAAAGTCTCCATAGAGAAGATGGCATTGGACTCAGACTTTGCAAGATCAGCAAGATGTCAAAAGGCTGAGATGAAAAAGGGCATTATGGTCATAGAAAAAGAGTCAACAAATGCACAGGGCAGTTCAAGGAAGAGACAGCTCAGTGGTGGAGAGGAGAGGCACTGAATTTGGAGTTAGGAAGGCCTGAGTTCAAACCCCACATTAGACACATGTTCTGTACCATCATGAACACATCGCTTGACTTCTCCAGCTTGTTTCCTTATCTGTGAAATGAGGGGTCGAACTCCACAGAGTCCAAGTTCCCATCTAAATGTATGATTCTAAACATGCCCATTTGGCTAGGGTACATTATTAATGACCACTTCCATAGCATTGGAAGGTTTGCATGAAGAAGTTTGCATGGCATAGCACATTGGGTCCTCACAACAACCCTGGAAGGCAGGTGTAATCAATATCTTCAATTTATAACAGAGGGAACAGAGGCTGAGACTGGTTAAATGGTTTGTCCAGGGTCAGACAGCTAGTCGGTATCCAAAACGGCCTTTAAGCCCAGGTCTTTTTGACTCCAAGGACAACATAGTCCAGAGTCAATGCCAAGATGCTTTATGAGATGAAGCTGGGAAGGCATATGTGTAAAAACAGGCTAAGAATTGGGAACACTTCAGATAGAATCTGGTCTCAGATATTTGCTACCTATCTGACCCTAGGCAAGTCACTGATTGAAGCCTCGGTTTCCTCATCCATAAAGTGGAGATAATGATAATGCCTATCTCATAGAATTCTTTTGAGGATTAAAGGATATAATAAAGTATGCAAAGCATTTTGAAAAGCTTCCAAAGAGCAATGTAAAAGTGTGTTCTTATATCTAAGCATGTACTTTTTTGGGGGAAGGTTGTGGGGGAGGGGGGCTTGGGCCAGACCTCTGATCTTATTTGTGCAGGGAAATCTCAACATAGACACTCCTTCAATTGACACAGATCAGCACCTTGGAGTGATGAGAATTCTCTGGGGATGCTGACTTGGTATAAAATCTGCCCATTCAGTGTAAAGGTGTGAAAGGAAAAGAAAATAATTTTGATAATTATACAGCACAAAGTAACATTTCAAATGCACAGATATTTTATATTTTCTTTATATATTCTAGATTTCCTTAAAATCAGTTTGTGAATATTTACTAAGCATCAAGATCTTGAGATTGACTTACCATCTTCATTTCCTGAAACAATAGTATATACAATACTTTGATTGATGGCTGCTGCGTTGATAACACCAACTGGAGTCCCTATTGGTGCAAGTTCGCTTACTGGAGGTGGTCTGCAGAATTAGACAAGATCATTTTTTCCTCAGGTTAATATTTGATGTGATACAGATTTGCATTTAAAGTTTAAATATATATAGTATCAGCAAAGGCAGACTTTCCGCAAGGTTGATTGTTAAAGTCTTCAGGGAGGTGAGAGATTAAGACATCAGACACAGAAAAATAAGCAAATTCAGCAGTATCTTACTGAATAAGAACGTTTCTTCAACCAGGGCAATAAAGAGTAAGCACAGGAGTGCCATGGCTGTATTACACAACTAATTTATAGGCAATAGACTGAATAGAGGGTACATTCTTGATTAAAAAAAAATAAAACAACTAACTGGGCCATCTCCCTAGCATTAAAATTTTGTTATAGCACAATGATGCTAACGGTATTAACCAGGCAGTTTTTCTTTCTAGCCCTTGTTCTTTCTTAACTACCATCTTTCTCCTTCCCCAACTACTTTAACTGCAGGACATTTTTAAATAGAAAGATAATCACAAAATAACAAAGAGAGAATTAAGTTTCCTATGGAAAATCAGCTTCTTACTCATATTCTGGCCTTTGTTACTCTCTTTTTTATCTACATTCCAAACACCATTTTCAATATATTACTATTGTTTCTCATAAGGGATTAATTCATTTTGTAATAATAGCAGAAGTCTCATAATCTCTTTCAAGGGATTTTTCCTAATCATCTTCATGTGTCTTCACCTTTCTCAATCATTGTTTTCTGCCCTTAAATGCAGGGGATGGTTTTACTGCTTGGGTTGAAAATAGACTCCCACTTATTATTTAGAGTCAGCTGTGATGCCATATCTAATCGCTGTGTCATATATCAAAATATTATTGGTCAATGATCTTTTTTTTTTTTATTTCAGTCCCTGATTTTCTGCCTGGGATGTCCTTCAAAATTATCTCTTGATCGTCTACTTTGAAAAAACAGAATTTGTTATATTTTTCTTAAAATTGTCTTGACTCTAACCTTTCCAATTTCTGCTGTGGATGCCACCATTTTTTCAAGGACCCAGGTTCACAACCTTGAAGTCATCCTGCCTCTTTTCCTTTTGCTGCTTCCCATGTCCAAGCAGTTTGAAATTTAGTTTGTCTTTTTTCTCTTCCTTCATTGAGATTCTGCTTCGCTTCAAGCCCTTATCACCTCTCATGAATACTATTGTAATACCTGCCTCCTGGTCTCTCTTTTTTTAGTCTCCAATCTGTAAATCAGAGAGTTTTGCACTGGGAGTAATATGGTGGATTCATATTTCACCCCAGGCACCTGATAGCCTGGAAAAACCACTTAAATCAAATCCATAAACATTTATTAAGTGCTTATTATATGCCAGGCACTGTCTTAAGTGCTGGGGTTACAAAGAAAGATAACAAAAATCCCTGAATTCAAAGGTCTTATTTTTTAAATAAGAGAGCCAAGAGGCAAACAACTGTTTACCAACAAGATATGGGCAAAGTTAACAGTGGGTGATTCCAGAGAGAAGCCAATAACAGTGGTGGAGAGGAAGAGGGGAATGGGAAATGCTTGTAAAAGCTGGAATTTTAGTTGAAACTTAAAGGAAGCTAGAGAAGCCAGGAAGTAAAGATAAGGATGAAGTCCATGCTAGCCAGTGAAAAGGCAGGGATCAGAGAGATGGAGTATGCTATATGAGGAAAAATAGGAAGGTCAAAGTTCTGAGTCATAGAATACATGGAGGGGAGGAAAACATTAAAAAAAAAAGGATGAAAAAGCTAAGAAGAATCTGGGTTCCAAAGGGCTTTAAATGCCCGATGATTTTGCATTTGATCTGGGAGGCGACAGAAAACCTTCTTAGCTTTATTTCTCCAAAATTCTGTTTTCTCATCTGTAAGAATGTGCAGATGTTGTGAGGATCACCTCAGGTTGTTGTGAGGATCAAACGAGAGAATGTGTATAAAGGGCATTAGAAGCCCGGAAATGCTGCATCAACATGAGCTATTCTAATGCTTATGGGAACACTAGGGGAAAAGGGAAGGGAGAGGAGGAATGGGGCAAATTATCTCACGTAAAATAAACTGCAAGGAAGAGCTTTTACTGTCAGGAAAAAACGGGGCAGCATTGTTTATATCTTAATCTTATCTAAATTGATTGAAAGAGGGGAACATATCTACTTCTATATACACAATTAAGTATGGAAACTTATCTTCCAACAAGGAAATAAGAAAGAAAGAGGGTAAGAGAAAGGGGGATGATAAAAAAAAAAGAAAGAATGGAGAAGGAACACAGTTGTTGAGTCGTTTTCAATCATCTCTGACTCTTCAGGAACTCATTTGGGATTTTTTTTTTTTGGCAAAGATACGGATGCGGTTTGGGATTTCCTTTTCCATATCATTTTACAGATGAGGAAACTGACTAGCCCAGGGTCAAACAGTAAGTGTCGGAAGTCACATTTGAACTCAGGAAGATGAGTCTTCCTGACCACAGGCCCAGCACTCAATCCGCTGTGCCACATAGCTATCCCCAAAGAATGTAGTGGTCAGAGAAAGATAAACAGAAGAAGAGAGGATAGATAGAAGGACATACTCAACTAACAATCATAGCTGTCTATAAGAATGGGACGAACTCACATATAAAACATAAGTGAATACCAGAATGGATTAGAAATCAGAATACAAGAATATGTTTTCTACAAGCAGCACACTTGAAACAGAAAGATATAGAGAAAGTTAAAGTAAGGGACTGGAGCAGAATCTATTGTACTTTAGATGAAATTTAAAAAAAAAAAGACAGATGTGGCAATCATGATTTCAGACAAAGCAAAAACAAAATTAGAGGTAAGAGAAAAACAGGGAAACTACGTCTTTGAAACTACAGAAATGACATCATAGTCAATGACATAATATGAATACTAAACATATATGTGCCAAATGGCATAATATCCAAACTTTTGGTAATATCCACATTTTTTAAGGAAAAAATTAAATCAGTTATAAAATAAATATACAGTAAAAATTATACTAGTGGGAGACCTTACCTTCTCCTTCTCAAAGCTAGGTAAGTCTAACCATAAAATAAATAAGAAGCTAAGGAGATGATTGACCCTTGGGAAAAATGAATGGGAATAGAAAGAAGTACACCTTTTTTCTCCGAGACATATAGCATCTTCACAAAAATTGAACATGTATTAGGGAATAAAAAAACTCACAAGTACAAAAAAGCAGAAGTATTACATGCACCCTTTTAACACCTTAATGCAAAAAAAAAAATACATTCAGTAAAGGGCAGTAGAAGCACAGATTAAAATAATTAGAAACCAAATAATCAAATCCTAAAGAATAAGTGGGCCAAAGAACAAGTCATAAAACCAATAATTTCATTAAAATAATGATCATAATGAGACAACATAGAAAGATATTTGGGATGCAGCTAAAGCAGTACTTAGGGGAAAATTTACATCTCTACATGTGTACATAAATAAAAGAAAGAGAAAGCAGATCAATGAATTGGTCATAGAATTCATTGTGATTCACTAAAACAAACTAGAAAATTAAATAAAATTAAAAGTCCTCAGTTAAATGTTACCATAGAAATCTTAAAAATCAAGGGAGAGATTAAAATTGAAAGAAAAATAAAATATTGAACTAATAAAACTAGCAAATTTATTTAAAAAATTGACAAAGAATTGTTTAATTTAGTTTAAAAAAAAAGAAAATCAAATTTCCAGTATCAAAAATGGAAAGGGTGCATGTACCACCAATAAAGATGAAATTAAGTGACTTATTAGGAGTTATTTTGCTCAATTATATATCTGTAAAACTTATGATCTAAATGAAATGGCTGAATATATACAAAACCGTAAATTACCCAGATTAACAGAAGAGATGTTTCCATGTTAGTTATTTTGTGAAAGAAAACTCAATCCCATCAACTGGAGAATGGTTGGATTAGTTGTGGTATATGATTGTGATGTAATACTTTTGTGGTATAAATAACCCCATATTAGACAAAGAAATAGAAGGCATAAATGAACTTTCTAGGAAAAAATCCCCAGAAGCAGATGAATTTGAAAGTGAATTCTATCACATATTTAAGGAATAATTTTTTCCAAAACTAAATAAATTATTTGCAAAAAAATAAGCAAGTAAAAATACTAATAAATTCATTTTATGACACAAATATTGTTTTGATACCTAAACCAGTACAGTGAGTAAAATCCAACAAGTGCAAACTAAGGTGTATTTTCTAAGAGCAAGATATGTTTATTAACAATGGAATGTATAGCTGTTTAAAAAAAATGGGTCAGACAGGATAAGCTGGGCTAGTGATCAAGATGAGGAGAAATTCCTCTTTACTGAGATACAAGAAAGGATACCAATCAAACTACCAAAGAATTATTTTACAGAGCTATAAAAATAACCAAATTCATTTGGAAGAACAACAATTAAAGGAATCTGATAAAAAAAAAATGTGAAGGAAGGTGACCTAGTAATACAATTAGAAAATATATTATAAAGTGTTAATCACCAAAAAAAATATGGTACTAGCTAACAAATAGGGTAAAGGGTCTGTAGAATAGATAAGATAAAGAATGACAAATGATTATAGTGATCTACTGTTTATTAATCCAAAGATCCAAGCTTTTATGGCAAGAACTCATTATCAGACAAAAATTGCTGGGTAAACTATAAAGCAGTGTGGCAGAAACGAGGTATAGACCACCATCTCACACCATATGCCAAAGTATGATCAAAATGGGCAAATGACTTAGATATAAATGTTGATATAATAAATAAAATCGAGTAGCATGAAAAAAATACACTTGTCAGATCTCTGGATAAAGGAAGAATTTATAACCAAAGAAGAAAAAGAATAAAACAGGAAATATAATGGATAATTTTCATTACATGAAATTTAAAAGTTTTTTAAATAAATAAAAGCAATGCAAGCCAAATTAGACAGGCAGCCAGAAACTGGAGGAAATTTCTTTTACACTAAGTTTTTCTGATAAAGGCCCAATTTCTCTAATTGGTAAATATAAATAT